AACCCCAATTCATTGCTAGTTTGTGTACAGTGGTCTCTAAATGAGGATTTAAGTGGTTGCGTCATTCTTTGTCGTTATTTATCGATTTTTTGGGTTAATGATTTGTGCTTCTTTTTGTGATAAATTAATTTTGGGCCAAACATTGAATACCCTCCACCATTTGGAACGAATTTGGAAATTTAAAAAATTTTAAAAATACCGAATATTGCCGTTATATTGGGATCTATACGACGTGGACCTACATAGGCATTGTTTGCCATTAGCCATTACCATATTCAAATTCGAAACTTAAAGTAAACGGTGAATAATGTAGCTAAAATCATCAAAATATTGTATATAGGGAGATACCAGTACATCGGAGCTGTGCGAAGACCTGGACCAGAATAGACAATTTTCTGTCACAGGCTATAGCATCCATTACTAACGTCAAGTACGATATGTCAAACAATTTCGGTGGGTATTGTACCTAAACTCGTCAACATACCGAATATAGGGAGGTACTGATATATGGGGACCATACGAAAACCTGGACCTGCATAGACATTTTTCTGTCACAGACTGTAGTTCCCATTACGAACTCTAAATACGTAATTTGAAACAATTCCGGTGAATAATGGCACTAAAATCATCAAAATACCGAATTTTTGGAGGTACCGTTATATGGGGTCTGTACGAAGACCTGGACCAGCATAGACAATTTTCTGTCACAGGCTGTAGCATCCATTACGAAACTCAAATACCAAAATACCGGTGAATAATATTGCTAAAATCATAAAAATACCGATTATTGGGAGGTACCGTTATATGGGGGCTATACGAAGACGTGGACCTGCACAAACAATTTTCGTGTCTTAGAGTGTAGTATCCATTTCGAACTTCTAATGCCAAATTTGTAACAATTCCGGTGAATAATGTCGTTAAAATCATCAAAATACCGAATATAGGGAGGTACCGTTATAGGGGGGCTATATGAATACAAGGACCTACATGGCCCATTTACGAACTTAACCTGCCTACTGGAAAAATAAACATGTGTGCAAAATTTTAGCCTTCTATCTCAATTCGTTCGAAAGATAGCGTGATTACAACAGACATACGGACAGACAGACGGACGGACATGGCTAAATCGACTTAGAATTTTACGCTGATCAAGAATATATATACTTTGTTGGGTCTGACATGAGTATTTCGAGGAGTTACAAACGGAATGACAAAGTTAATACACCCTCCATAGTATGGTGGAGGGTATAAAATGTATAACATTGTCGTCCCGTTTATTCTCACCCTTTCTCTCTCTCTCTCTCTCTCTCTCTCTTTATCTCTATTAACACTTTGTGAATTTAAAAAAATTCACTTGGTTTGCGTCTTTGCTAGATACGTTGTAATTAATCCTTACGGACATGACAGAATATCTATTCAATTATTCCGTTGGAGTGGAACTTCAACAGATCTTCTATTGGCAGAAAATCTTCTGCAGCTCTGCTATAGGCAGATAACCTTCAACATGTTTCTTATAGACATAATAATAGTTTCAACAGTTGCTCTGCCACAGCTCTTGTGATCATAAAATTAAACATTTCCAATATTACCAAAGTATTCAAAATAGTCCATCGCTTTAATATTCAATATTCCCCTAACAAAGTCTAAATCTTGGAAAAAATAACAACAAATTCTCATGTTTTGCTCTTTGTTAATTTCCTTTAACAGAAAATTGACTTGAAATCTCATCATACTTTTGTTGTTGTATCCTCTCCTCTCTCTCTCTCTCTCTCTCCGAAATGGAACATAAAATACATTGCCTTAGACATGGCTAAGCCGTTTATTTCCAATACGCAAAAGATTCCAATACGGCGATGAAGCCGATGATGCCGATGACAAAGCAGACTCGCTCCCCTACTCACAGCCTGCATTTGTGTATTTGTGTGCGTGTGTGTGTGTGTGTATCCTTAATAGGAGTAGTAACCACATTTATTGTAATATCCTGTGGCTTTTTACCGCACCAAAGCACTTGAAGTCGCCTTCCGTTCGAATTTGTGTCAATGTCCTGGCCAAGGGAAAGAACCCCGCTTAGGCTAAGTACTTTGGATGAATGTGAAAATACCAATGGTCGACATTAATCCATATGGCTTTAGTGCAAATGAGAATATCGATTATTACACAAATAAAAATTAGAAATATTATTACCCAAAAATTGCAATAAATGGCCATTCTAAAGCAATAATTTTTCCACACACACACTCGCACGAAGGCAAGAAAAATCCGGTGGTGTGGAATTTCCCCATTTCGATGTCAAAAAACTGGTGGCCACTCGTAATATCTTCCCTTCTCAAGTACCACCACCAGTTGCTTATTTATTTGTTTGTTTTTCTCCCTCTCTCCCCGGCCCCTCTCTCCGTATTGTTTATTAAGTAGCTTTGTATGAGTGTGTGTGTGTCTATGTCATTTTTGTTATCGTTCCACTCAACTCACCACTGTTTGTTGTTATTGACGTCCATGCCGAGTGTGGTTAATGTCCTACTGCGCTGTGCATTGACATGCAGACACTGTTGCTCCGTACAACAGGAGGTCATAAGTTCATTAAGTTTAGGTTGATTGGGTGCTTAAGGAGAGGGGTAGGAGAGTGGGGGCGGTAAGTCGACTAAGACTTAGTTGTATTTTAGCTAATACAAAGTAGGTCGGTCATATTTTTCGTTCTTTCTTTAGTTTATTATTCGGCTTTGCCATTCATTTTGAATGGACTTCATTAAAACGCCAAAAAACGAAAATAGAAAAAGAAGAGAGCAAATTTATCTACTCTTTTGACGAAAGGGGCAAATAACCTTTTATAGAAAATTAATTTCAATGTCAACTGTCAATTGACTGGAATTAATTTTTGCCATCGACGTCACTGTTGCTGAACGCAACCATAAATTAGTTGGTTGAAATAAAATGTAAATGTCAAGCGGATAAATTAGGTTGTGAGGAGAGTAACCTGTTGGAGAAAGAGGCAAAATATTGCCAGGATATCCACCATCGTGAATAAGATCCACAACCGTGGATAAGATATCCACCACCGCGGATAAGATTTCCAGCATCAGGGATAAGATATCTATAATCGTGCATAAGGTATTCACCATAGTGGATAAGATATCCACCATCGTGGATAAGATTTCCGTCATGGGGTAAGATATCCACCACCGTGGATAAGAAATCCGCCATCGTGGATAATATCCACAACCGTGGATAAGATATCTACCATTGTGGATAAAATATCCACCGTCGTGGATAAGATATCCACCATCGCGGATAAGATTTCCGGTATGGGGGTAAGATATCCACCACCGTGGATAACATATACAACATTGTGGATAGATTTACAATTGTGGATAAGATATCCACCACCGTGGATAAGATATCCACCACCGTGGATAAGATATCCACCATTGTGGATAAGATATCCACCACCGTGGATAAAATATCCACCACCGTGGATAAGATATCCACCACCGTGGATAAGATATCCACCACCGTAGATAAGATATCCACCACCGTGGATAAGATATCCACCACCGTGGATAAGATATCCACCATCGTGGATAAGATATCCACCATCGTGGATAAACTATCCACCATCGTGGATAAGATATCCACCATCGTGGATAAGATTCACAAGCGTGGATAAGATTTCCACAACCGTGGATAAGATATCCACCATCGTGGATAAGATATTCACCATCGTGGATAAGATATCCACCATCGTGGATAAGATATCCCCACCGTGGATAAGATATCCACCACCGTGGATTAAATCCACAACCGTGGATAAGGTATCCACCATCGTGGATAAGATATCCACCATCGTGGATAAGATATCCACCACCGTGGATAAGATATCCACCATCGTGGATAAAATCCGTGGATAAGATATTCACCATCGTGGATAAGATATCCACCATCGTGGATAAGATATTCACCATCGTGGATAAGATATCCACCACCGTGGATTAAATCCACAACCGTGGATAAGGTATCCACCATCGTGGATAAGATATCCACCACCGTGGATAAGATATCCACCATCGTGGATAAAATCCGTGGATAAGATATCCACCATCGTAGATAAGGTATCCACCATCGTGGATAAGATATCCACCATCGTGGATAAGATATCCACCATCGTGGATAAGATATCCACTATCGTGGATAAAATCCACTACCGTGGATAAGATATCCACCATCGTGGATAAGATATTCACCATCGTGGATAGGATATCCACCATCGTGGATAAGATATCCACCACCGTGGATAGGTATCCACCACCGTGGATAAGGTATCCACCATCGTGAATAAGGTATCCACCATCGTGGATAAGGTATCCACCATCGTGGATAATATATCCACCATCGTGGATAAGATTCACAAGCGTGGATAAGGTATCCACCATCGTGGATAAACTATCCACCATCGTGGATAAGATATCCATCATCGTGGATAATATCCACAACCGTGGATAAGATATCTACCATTGTGGATAAAATATCCACCGTCGTGGATAAGATATTCACCATCGTGGATAAGATATCCACCACCGTGGATAAGGTATCCACCATCGTGGATAGGCTATCCACCATCGTGGATAAGGTATCCACCATGGTGGATAAGATATTCACCATCGTGGATAAGATATGCACCACCGTGAATGAAATCCACAACCGTGGATAAGGTATCCACCATCGTGGATAAAATGCACAAGCGTGGATAAGATTTCCACAACCGTGGATAAGATATCCACCATCATGGAAATAATATTCACCATCATGGGTAAAATATCCACCAGCGTGGATAAGATTTCCACCACCGTGGATAAGATATCCACCATCGTGGATTAAATATCCACCATGGTGCATATTTCCACTAACGCGAAAAACATATTCACCACCAACGAACCCTAAAACATGTCAACCATTTCATTTGCAATTCTCACCTCATTTCCCCTTCTCTCTCTATCTCTTCTTTCCAGTAAAACGCTCCAATGACGCTCAGTCGTCCAGCAAGAACACCGCTGAATCGGCCTTGAATAAAAAATCCAGTCCCGAAGTTGTCCCAGCTTCCTATACAGCACCACCCAGGCCCAAGTCGAATTTCATAGTACAACAACAGCAGCAGCAACAACAACAAAACAACCAAGACAACAATGTGCTGGAGAAGAACAATGATCTCATCAGTTCTGCCATTGCAGCTGGTCTCACAGCTGCCGCCGTGGAGGCAGCAGCTGTGGCGGCCAATCAACGTGAATTGGAGCAGCTAAGGCGCCAGAATCCCCAACAACAATTGTATTCCAGCGATGAAGATGATAGCGATCAACAGGCTGCTGCCATCAATAAACGTGGCATTAGCCAACAACAACAATATGGCTACACCAATTTGGCACCACCAGAGAATACCTATCCCGATAATTCCGGCTTCATTCCACCACCACCCAGTGGCCGCTATGCATATCCCTATGGAACCTATGAAACCATGCCACCCAAGGAGCCACAGACACCACCCGGCGTCTGGGGTGATGAACTGATCGACTCGCCACCCAATGTCGTCTACACCGACATCGATGAGTACGGCATGCCAATGTCTCGAGGTAATTTGGACTCTATTCTGTGTTGTCGATGTCTTCAATGTTGTCTCCTACTGGTCGCATATACGAAAAAAAATTAAAGTCTGCCAACTACTTGTACTTCCATATCCTTTTTCAGTTCCCTCGTCATATCACGATAAAGCCTACGATAATCTGGCCACTCTGTTGAATTCGGAGAGTTACATGGACTCGTTGCCGTTGCCATATACGGGCCGACGTTACTACAATGCGGTGGGAGAGACCAATGACAGGAACAAGAGAGCCTACAAGGTGTTCAATCAGTTGGCCAATAAGTTTCCCGATATGAGGTGAGTTGGCTCTTCTTAATCTGATGTTTTGAATTTTAATGTTCTCTCTCTCTCTCGTTCTCCTCTCAGATTGAAACGTGACACCAAATTGACCCCTGCTGATATGTTGGCTTTGGTTGCCTTGGTTGAGGCTGGCGAACGTGCCCGCAAGGATACCGATGCCGATGCTGGTTATGCTTACCCTCCCGAGAGTTATGTCCCCAAATCGTATGGCCTAAATACCAACAACAATAACAATTACAATCTTGGAGCTTATGATTATCCAGCCTTGGGTCAAGTTGATGATAGCCTAGATTATAATAATGGTCCCTGGCCAATGGAGCCCCAATCGATGGTGGACTATTATGGTGTCCCCATGAACATGGAACCCGTTGGCAAATACGACACACCCCGTTTGCCCGTTAAGGAGAATAAATACAATGATCGTGAGTATTAAAAGAGAGAGAGAAATATAACTGAAAAGAGTGAAGTACAGAGAGAAAAAAGAGAAGAGGCCTTAAAGAGAAATGGAAATCTAGAAAGGGGTTAAGAGATAAGAAGAAATAAAAAATAACTGAAAGGAGGGAAGTACCGAGAGAAAAAAGAAAAGAGGCCTTTAAGAGAAATGGAAATCTATAAAGGGTTTTATAGATAATATATGGTTAAGAAGTCATATATGCATTGAAGACCATAAAAGAGATGTTCTACGAACAGAAGGCCCTAAAAGGGGTTACATAAATTCAAGAGCTATAAGATGTCTTCTTTAGATTGAAGATCCTTTAAGAGGCTTTCTACTGACAGAAGCCCCTTAATAGGTATTCTATGGATAAAATAAATTGAGATTATGAGGAATGGAGAAATAATATATAAAGAATGTGTCTTCTATGAATAAAAGACCTCTAAAAGTCTTCTATTTTGAGGTCCACCTGCGGCAGGAGACCTGTATAGCTTCATATTGTTAGACTCGTAGGAAACCTGACAACATAAAAGATACAGAATATGTTTCCAGCGTGGTAAAAGAGCAGTTCAAAAAAGCAATTCCAGATTAATAGGCACTTTAAAGAAGTCCCATAAGGTCCGAGGACTTTGGGATTACGGGCAGATTCAATAAGTAACGGAGCAACAATAAGGTGCATTCCAAACAGGTTCCAAAGATGTTATTTTCGATGGTTTAAATTTTACAAATATTTCAAGTGGTCCCATTAGGCTCGGAAAACCAGGAGATAAGGTCACTTCCAGGAGATAAGGTCACTTCCAGGTGATTAATATAGGGTCATTGTTATGGACATTGAAGTTTTGGGCATTTCGAGGAAAATGTTAAAGTCTAAGATGTTAAGAGAACAAGTGAAACAGTGCTCCCAATTTCTCGATTTTACTTACAATCAAAAACACTCGCGATTAAAAAGTATTTCTCATTCCACGATTTTCTCCCTCTCTCTCTACTCAAATTCGAGTTGCATGGGACTAAATTTCGATGGATGGATCCTAGGTATATAAGAGTTACGGACACTTCAAAAGGATTTACTCAAGGGGGTCGCTAAAGGGTAAATTTCAAAGAGACCAAAGGGTTACGCAACCCTGGAGAGGGTTTTGACGACTTAATGTCCAAAGGATTCAAAAATTAGGGACAGGTTTCATTACCAAAGGACCCAGAAGTTATGGGCAATTTCTGTTTCAAATACTCCAATAAAACTTAAAAGGGTTTGATTCTAAGGACTTTAAAAGGATTTTAACGGATAAAAGTTCAATGAATCCTGGAAGTCTAAAAGTTACAGACAATTTTAGAGGTTTTAAAAATTTTGGAGGGACCCAAGATTTGGGCCCAAAGTGTCACAGACATATATTTGGGAAGGGGTTGCTTAGGGTTAGTTCCTAGGTGCCTAAAAGTACGGAAAATTGGAATTACCAGCACTTCAAGTGGATCCCTAACGGCTTAAAATCTAGAAGATGAGAGGATTATGGACACTAAAAGAGCTTCTTAGCCAACTAAACTTTGAGGAATACAACAATTATTAATACTTTAAGTATATTGTAACCGGTAAGTTTTCAAAGAATAGACCCAAAGTTACGCCCCAATCGAAATGGGTTGCTAGAGGCTTACTTTCCAACCAATTAAAGATTCGGACACTTCAAGTGGAACAAATGTTATGAACAACTCAAGAGGTTCTTAACGGATTAAATTTCGAGATATGCAAGAGCTACGGCCATTTCAAGCCTAATTTTATGACCTTTTTAAGGGCATTCCAAATGGCTAGTTTCGAAGAACCCAAGAATTATACTTTGAGAAGATTTATAACGGGTTGACCTCTAATGGTCCCAAAAGTTACTCCAATTTAAGAGAAGTTCAAATGTTACAGACGCTTCAAAGAAATTAGGAGTTACGGAATAACAAGGGGTTCAGAGTTAACCAAGGTTTAAGAACAATCCCAGCGGTCCTAGCTGGTGAAATTTTGAAGGATCCTAGAGTTTTGAGATCGTCAAGGGGATTTCTAACGGTTTAGTTTGCAAGACACCAAGAGTAACAAATACTTCAAGGCGATTCCTAACGGGCTAATTACCGGGAGATTTAAGAGATATAGACACTGCAGGAGGATGTCATAAGGGAAGGAGAATTCAAGTGTTTCCGATTTCCGAATCCTCCAAATATCATGGACAATTCGAAGGAATAACAACGGACCCATTTGCAAGGGATCCAATATATCATAGACTTCGATAAGACTCGAGTGGTCCCTTTATAGGCTTTCTTACCTCATAATTTTTGAGGGATTTAAAGTCTTCAATGAGGCTCCGAGGACTCAAGAATTACGAACACTTCGAGAGGTATTTTAATGGATATCTTTTCAAGACAATTAAAATGATTGGCGCATTTCAAAGAGGGATCCCAAAGGGTTCATTTGGAAGTGATTCAAAATATCATAGACTTCAAGAGTTCGATAGGACTCGAGTGGCCGAAGAATTTTGACCCATTTAGGGTTTTCTAACCTCATAGTTTATTTAATGCCTTTATTGGGTTGCAAGGACTCAAGAGTTACGAACACTTCGAGGGGCATTTAATGGGTATTTTTTCGAGATAATTAAAATGATTGGGCATTTCAAAGAGGAATCTCAATGGGCTCATTTGCAAGGGATTAAATAATTCATAGACCTCAAGGGCTTCGAGTGGCCTTCAGTGGCCCAAAAATAACCACCCTTTTAAACGGTTTCTAACCTCATAATTGTTGAGGTATTTAAGGCCTTCAATGAGGCTCCGAGGACTCTAGAGTTACAAACTTTTCGAGGACAGTTTTAATGGGTATCTTTTCTGGGCAATTAAAATGATAGGGGCATGTCAAAGAGGCCCCAGGGTAACAGGTTCCGAACACTTTAATTTCCCCAAAATGCAAGAGTTGGGAGAGGCGTATGGAGAGGCAAAATAAAAACAAGAGTTACCGAAACTTCAAAATCTTCGAATTAATTTTCGAAGAATCAGAAGCTTTTACAAGGCAAGGGAAGCCTTGGGGTTGGTAGTCTTAGATAAAAGAAAACCCTTGAATGTTCGATACGGTACAGATACAAATACCTTAAGGTTTTTCCAAAAGGAGGGGTTCGATATGGCACGGATTCTCCATAGTTACGAAAACTTAAGGAGATCTAAGATTCTTACTTACCTGGCTCTCCTGAAATATCCAAACCGTAAAATGTTATTTTCTCTTTAATAATTCACTGACTTATTTCTCAGGCCCGGGCGCCCTCCGATATGTGTTCTCTTCGGATATTTTTACTTTTTGAATGAAAAATGTGCAGTTTTTCACCAGTTGGGTTTGCTCGAAAAGGCTTCAAAATTAATTTTGGGCACGTCCCTTTGTTCCATTATAATATGCCTGCTTCCTCAATGGTATGTGGTTTTGAGGTCATCATACATGTAAACAGCAAGGAGGGCCCCTGAACAATTTCTAAAAAAAGTTTTAAAATTTAAATTATTTATTATTTATATATTTTTCTGCTATAAAATTATTCAATACTCACCTTATTATGCTTTCACCTTTAAAAACTCCAGCACTCGTTATAATTCCAAAAAATATTTTTCTAATGTTACTTTCCATTCCATTTTCCTTCCAGGTATTTTCAACAACAAGCATTACATGGTGGCCAAAAAGAAGCGTTCCATAGCCAAGCCTGTAATACCCTTCAACCAAGATAAACTGTATTAAAAATCAAGTAACAACAAAAATAATCAATTTGCAAAGTAATTTAAAAAATATATACAACAGCGTTTATCCAAATCAAATAAAAATTAAACAATATGAAACAGAAAAAAAGAAATTATCTATAAAATTTGTGTAAAATACGCATTGAAATAAATCATTGTCATCCTCTTAAAGAAGCAGAACAACAAACAAAACAAAATAGAAACAAGCCCCCAGAAAGTATTTTCAGTTTTCAAAAAACCCTGTCAAACTGTTAATAGAAAACCAACCAACAACAAATTCATTTCAAACAAAACACAAATCAAAAAAAGAAAACAATTTTTTGTGTCAAATTTAACAACTACAACTCGTGCAATTGTTATTAACTACAAAACAAATGCATTTATATCAATTATTTTATTTAATGAGAAAAAAATCTTCAAAAACAAATAACGTACTAAAGGAAAAAAATCACAACAGTCTGAGCAAATATATATATTTTATTGAATTTAAAAGAAAACAACTCTAAGTTAACCAAAAAATAATAAATGACAATTATTGTAACTTGAAATCTTTATCAGTAACGCCATCTATTATTTGTGTTTGGTATCAAAACATGAGCTTAATTCGAAAACAAAGTAAACCTCTTTATGTCAAAAGCACTTTTTGAAAATGCACACCCAACTCTATTCAACCATCGACGAACAAACACACCACCAATCAGTTATTTGATGGTGGTGAGTTTATTTTGTGTTAGCCAGGTATGGAAAGTCTTTATCGACTAAACTATTATTTGGTACGGTTTTTTATTTGGAAAAATAGCAGTAAAAATCGATACGTTCCCGAAATTTAAAACCAATTTCTGAAAGGAATGAAAACTTAACTCCCACATTTTCAAAAATCATTTCAGATTGAATAAGTCAAAATTCAAATTTACGAAATATCGAAATGAAAACCTTTTTTTTCTTTTACCTTGTAAAAATGGGCAATAAGTCATGTTTTCTTAATTTAAAAATTTAAAAAAATCAAAAAAAAAAAATTAAAAGAATCGAAAAAACTCTTTTGCATGTCATTTTGCATTATTTCGACATAGCCTCAGGGTTGTATTTTAAGAACTTTTCATAAATTAGCTTTTTTCTCCTCATTTGACCATGTCAATACCATGATATAATTGAGATAATGAAATCATTCGGATTTAACTGAATAAAAAACAGCTTCCCATCCCAGATTTGTATATATATACAAAGGATTTACAAATATATATTTTGAAAATCGAATATTGCAACACCTTAAAGGGAAACGGCATTGGAAAATTAATGTTTTTTATAATGAGAACGGAATACAATCTCCCTCTTCGACTGTCACTTTTATTCTCTATTCGGCTCGACTGGAGCAATGTATAGTGAGAAAAGAATACAAACGATTCGCTTGGATGTAGATTCAATTCTAGATCCGGCTCGAAGGACCAATGTTTTTTATAATGAGAACAGAATCCAACCTCCCTCATCGATTTCAATCCAATCTCTCTCTTCGATTTTCACTTCTATTCTCTATTCGGCTCGACTAGATAAATATAAAGTGAGAAGAGAATACAACCGCTTCGCTTGGATGTAGATTCAATTGTAGATCCGGCTCGAAGGACCAATGTTTTTTTATAATGAGAACGGAATCCAATCTCCCTTTCGATTGTCAATTTTATAAAATAATGAGAAAATAATACAACCGCTTTGGGTGTAGATTCTAGTTTTTATTTGAAAATATCTTCCTTAAGTACTACAGAAACTAATCTAACTTAACCTAATCGGAGCCACACAATTATTGTAATCTATTCTAATATTGAATGGAGTACAGTGCAGGACTGCTTGACATTTCATTCAGGTGGTCTTGTACATCTACTGAGCGCATCAATATCTGAGCGTGTAGGTCATAACATTATTATCTCACACATTATCGTATGTGTCAGCGCACAAGATCACCGAATTGTTCACATGTGCTATTTTATGGCGGCTGGGAAATATGTAATTTTAGAATATTTATTGCTAGATTTTTCCAGCGCCTCCACCGCACTCAAAAATAAGTAGAAAGTATTTTGTACAATTAAAGATTTAGACACTTCATCTCTAACGGACTAAATTTTTAGGAACTAAAGGACTGCGGACAGCGATTCCTGATTATCTAAACGTATGTTTAGATATATTCCTTATGGGTTAGTTTCCAAGGCACCCATGTTTAAAGGGTCATTGACTTAACTGATTAATTTTTCAAATGAAGGATAAGTCCAATGAGGGTGTAGGAAACCGGTTAATATCGGGACAATGGAAGTTTCGGACACTTCAAGTGAATTTCTATGGAGCTAGATTCTAGGAAACCAAAGTGGTACGGACAACTCAAGAGGTTTTTAATAAATTAAATTTCGACATTTCAAGAATTACGGACATTTCAAGAATTTTTCAAACTTATAAAAGATATTGAAAGTGATGGAAGTGTCACATAAAGTGTAGAATTTCACTTAAAACTGGTTATGCATGGTTTTCAATCCGCATACTTCAAAGGCATCCAGTAATCAAACTCAACAATTCCGTATTTGTCCATGAGAAACTCAGTATCAACAATGACCGCAAGAGTTGTATTGTTCAAGGTCAGCTAATCTAGTTCATTTTCCATTCTCGGAACTAGGATCAGTGATCGAGTAAGAACCTAGTTCAGTGTTTCATTCACTTATAAGGTGACGCAGTTAAATTTGCTAGCTGATGCCGCAAGAATTGTAATGTCTTGATTTTTTTTTTTTTTTGTTATTGTTATTACGACAAGAAAAATCAAACCTCCTTGCGGAACAAACTTGCTCAATTAAAAAGAAAATTAGTAAACATACACTGTTGCCTTGTTCAACTAGTTCCTTCAGTTCACCTAGTTGTCAAAAAACCTTAGTTCACAGAACGAAACCATTTTTGTCGTTCATTTTCTTAGAAGGAACTAGATCGTTTATCCGGAGTCTGTCACTCTTTTGAGTTCTTTGGTTCTAGAAACCCTATTTTTATTATTGTGTAAATATTTATTTCAGTTATTGAACATTAGAAAAGTAAACGAACTATTGAAGCAAAGGGAGTGACTGAACTAACTAGGAACGAGACAACAAAAATAACCACCTAGTCCACACTGAGGAAAGGAACGACGAGAAAGGTCAATCCACTTAGTGAACTAAATTACCCAACTGTAATATTCGCTATGTGTAGGTTGGCACGGAATTCCCACTAAAAAAGAATTTCAGAAAAATTCTGAAGTTGAATGAACTAAAGGAACGTATTCAACTAAATGAACCCATGGATCTAGTTCTGAGGGTTTATTTCGCGAAATCTTTAATTTGAACCAGTTTCTTTTCGAAACATCATAAAAGATGAATTCAAACATTCTTTATATTTAAGTGGACTTAATATAAACAAATATATGCGCTTTTTTTGTTTGAGTTATCGAAATTCCATAATTATAAGGATTTTTTTTCATGTGACATTTTTGATGGAAAAAATCTAAATTTTAAATGGAAAATATTTTTTATTTAACTTCGTCATAAAACAGGAATACCGCCACAGGAATGATCCATTCTAATTCGTGTCGAGCTCCATCAACAGTTCTAGGGATACCTCTGGGGTAATTCCTGTGACTCACCTAATAATCCCTCCGTAGGTTTTTTGTGGGAACACTATTCAGATCTTCTGTATGAACTTAGAACGAAAGGTAACCTTTCTAGTCCTCTCTAAAAATCTGGAGCTTTATAGGATTACCAAAAGGATTGATCCATTCTAATTCATGTCGATCTCGATCAATTGTTCTAGGGTTGGCTATGAATAGGAAACTCAATACATTAGAGAAAAATTGAAGTAGGACCTCCGGGGTTACTCCTTATAACACCTCCGTAGGCTTTTGTGGGAATACCATTCCAGATCTTCTGTATAAACTCAGAATGAAAGATGGCCTTTCTAGTCCTTTCTAAGAAAATCTGTAGCTTTATAGGATTATCAATAGGATTGATCCATTCTAGTTCATGCCGATCTCGATCAATAGTCCTATGTTTGGCTATGGCTGGTTGAACACTCTGTGAATGTCACACTAAATACTTTAGAGAGGAATTGATCCAGCCCCTCCGGGGTTATTTCCGTGAAACTTATAACACCTCTGTAAGCTTTGGTAGGAACAACATTCAGATCTTTTATAAGAACTCAGGAACACCATTTAGATCTTCTGTAAGAAGTCAGGTTGAAAGGTGGCCTTTCTAAGGAAATCTGTAGCTTTAGAGGATTATCAAAAGGATTGAACCATTCTAATTCATGTAGATCTCGATCAATAGTTTTAGGGTTGGTAGAACATCATGTGAATGTCACACTAAATACTTTAGAGAGAAATTGACTTCGGGGTTGTCTCCATGACACTTATAATCTCTGGGTAGTCTTTTTTAGAAATACAATTCAAATCTTCCAGGGTTATTCCTGACACTTATAACACCTCCGTAGTCTTGTGTGGGAACACCATTCAGATATTCTAAGAAAAACTCCGAATGAAAGATGGCTTTTCTACTCCTCTTTAAGAAAATCTGCAGCTCTAAAGGTTTATCTTAAAAATTGCGATTTTATAGGATTATCTAAAGAGTTCGGGGTCCTTTATAAGAAATGTTGAGGTCATTATATAAAAATATTCTTAAAATTTTAAAGACCGTGTATACACCTCATAAAACAATGAACATTTGATTTACAATCACCCGAAATATTTATATTACGATGCGTCTTCATGTGGGTCTCTCGGTCACCAAAGTGGTTAATGATTTATCGTAGTATTATCTGAATAATTGAGGGTCCTCTATAAGAAATTTTGAAGTCATTATATATTTTTAAAATTTTGAAGACCTTTATAACCTTGTATATACCTCATAAAACAATTAATCAGCTGAATTATTTCTATTACGAAGGGTCTCGCGATCCTCAAAGTGATTAAGGATGTGTCGTAGTTTCCTATTGCAAGAATTCCATGTATTTTTAATATTAAAAATATTCCAATGTGAGCAGTAAAATTATTTGAATACAGACTTTCCATCCCTGCCATACATTTCACCACAGGCTTTTCATCTCCCTCCTTTTGCTTATTTTCTCTCTCTCTCTCTCATTACATTCCAAATGCTTGAGCTTTGTACGTAAAATGCGGCGCCATCTATACATTTTTTTTTTGAAAATATTAAATGGAAATTGATGTAGATTTGTCTGTCACGACTGCTGTATATTTTTAGGCGTTTCATTAAAAAAGCTAATCAAACAAAAGCCGTTTCAAAAACTATATCCCTTAAGTTTTGGCATTTATTTAATGAAACCAAAAAAAAAATGAACTATGAAATCTTAATTAAATCTCCATTTATATAAATATCACATACATATATACAGACACTCTCACACACCTAACAATGTAAACAAATAAACAGTAACATCAAATTGTTGTATTGTATATTAATCTAGTAATTATACATTGAAAAAAATTGA